ACACTCTGCAGTCTGTTTACATGTAACACATTTTGGGGAGCAAAACAAGTCAACTACACCCAGGACAGCTATTAGTTGCCCTGGTTCGGATTCTAACCCACGACACTCTGCAGTCGTTTACATGTAACCATTTTGGGAGCAAACAAGTCAACTACACCCAGGACAGCTATTAGTTGCCCTGGTTCTGGATTTGAACCCACGACACATCTGCAGTCTGTTTACATGTAAACACTTTTGGGGAGCAAAACAGTCAACTACAACCCAGGACACTATTAGTTGCCCTGGTTCGGATTTGAACCCACGACACTCTGCATCTGTTTACATGTAACACATTTTTGGGGAGCAAAACAAGTCAGACTACAACCCAGGGACAAAGACTAGCTATTAGTTGCCCTGGTTCGGATTTGAACCCACGACAATCTGCAGTCTGTTACAGTAACACATTTGGGGAGCAAACAAGTCAACTACACCCAGGACAGCTATTATTGCCATGGTTCGGATTCGAACCCACGACACTCTGCAGTCTGTTTACATGTAACACATTTTGGGGAGAAAAACAAGTCAACTACACCCAGGACAGCTATTAGTTGCCCTGGTTCGGATTCGAACCCACGGCACTCTGCAGTCTGTTTACATGTAACACATTTTGGGGAGCAAAACAAGTCAACTACACCCAGGACAGCTATTAGTTGCCCTGGTTCGGATTCGAACCCACGACACTCTGCAGTCTGTTTACATGTAACACATTTTGGGGAGAAAAACGCAAGCTGTTCAATTTTCCACACGTGTATCGAGAATCACGTAAAACATCACGCGGTTTGTGTAGTACCCATCACATGAAAAAAGGCGAAAGGAAGTATATAGAAGAGAGTGAGACAAGGATATGTATGTTGAAGAGAAGGTGGCATACATACCTGCTGACTTCAGACTTAAAATCCAGCAATCTGGTGGACACATCTCCTTTCAGCTGAACAACACACACACACACACACACACACACACACACAACAGCAACTCAATAATACGTACACTTACACTATAATATGTACATAGTATGATGGTATCGACAGTGACCACTACACAAATAAGATACTAAGTATTAGCATGCGTTGAACAATGTCCTTTGTAGAGGGTAGGTCGTCCAGCCGTGCAAATAATATACAGCTAATATAGAGCATGTGGTGAACAAGTGGGTCCTTTGTAGAGGAGGTCCGTCCAGGTCCAAATAGTCCACTACGGATTGCATGAGCTGAAAGTGGCCTCTGTAGAGAGGTCGTCCAGTCAATAATTATACTACGAGTATGAGCATGTGTTGAAACGAAGTGTCCTGCTTGAGAGAGGTCGTCCAGGTCAATAATACACTAAGTAGTGAGCATGTGGTGAAACAAGCTGTCCTTTGAGATGAGGTCGTCTCAGGTCAATATACACTAAGTAGAGCATGTGGTTGAACAAGTGTCCTCTGTAGAGAGGCGGTCCCTATCTCGGAGGGTCCCTTATCGGAGGTTCCACTGTATTATAGAGTATGACAGGGTTTCAACAATGCTGTACCTCTCAGTGTCAGCGCGTCAAAGAAGCAAGGCTGTGCTCTCCGAGTGAACGAAGCTCCTCTGTTCGACGAAGACGCAGAAGAGTTGTGTGTCGAAGAGATGGCGGAAGAAAGGCCACTCGGCAACGGGGATGTGCTCCAGAAACTGCTGCTGGTCGAAGAGAAGAGATGCATCTCGAGATCTCTCTGACGGAGCACAGAGCAGAGGTCTCAGACACATCCTGTCGGGGAGGAGAAGGAGGGACAGTGATGAGGAATAGGACAAGGAGAGATATTAGTTACACTTCTTATCACTTATTCCGCATGGTGTCTCAAGCTATACTTCGTTCCCTTTCTTTTCCGTCTTTACACATTGCTTCGAAGGCGTTAACCTATTGTGAAGGGCTATAATGTAGACCTTTCTATCTCCTTTGTCCCTTTTTCGCCTTTTTCCCAAGTGTTTATAAGGTAGGATATTCTTTCCAGTTATGCGACCAGTCGTTTCCCATGGTATGTCTACGTATGTCCATTTTTATACTGGCGTATAACTTAGGGAAGGGAGGAGAGGAGAGAGGAGAACTATGAAACGTATGTACTACTGTAGTGGCGAGGTGGATGCTCATAGAAGGAATTCTGCCAACATTAAAACGAGTCTCGTTAATTAATAACAGGTACACATGCCAACAACGAGGTAGCAAGGCAAGCAAAAAGTCAACTACACCCAAGACAGCTCTTATTACCAAGGAAAAAGAAGAAGAGCTGCCTTGGGTGGGACTCAAACCATCGACACTCTGCAGTCTAGACAAACGTTGCAAAAGGTCAACAGCCTAATAATTATTTTACTAAACTTTATATGCGAGGTGAACACTGTATAGTACAGATATTCACCTGTAGTCACATAGGATGGTGGCGTGGAATCTGAGGAATGCCTCTCGTATTTTCACGTCTATCTGCTCCTGCATACGTACATATATACATTATGAGGCATAGACAGCGAACTAATAGCTGTGTATATGTGTGCATTTTATACTACACCTAATGCAATGGACTTCTGGCGATCGAACGTGTAGATTTCAATTTTAAATTAGAACAACGTTCAATTTAAAACACCACAGTACTCCGGTCACACACACACATATACACCCGCGATTGAACGATTCTGTCAGCATCGCTTCACTCACCAACGAGGTCTAGGGAGATTTATGCACAAACTATAAAGATGCAATATAAATATGCTATACCAGGTCAGTCTTGTACGACAGGTCAGACTCTATGGGTGTCACCTCCACCGCAAATCCAATGCCAGGGTTGAGGTCTAGAGGAGAGAGGGGGGGGTAAGGCAAGCTTCACAATTTGTCGCAATGCCCTGTTGCGCCGTGCGGCGTCGTGAGGATAGGAGGAGGATCCATTTCTCTCTTCGCGGCAGGATGCGTCGGGGCAATGCGACAAATTGTGAACCTAGCATAATAAACAGGTTTTCCTAGCCACCATTGAATAATTGAACGGTGTTAATGGCTGACTATGTAAATGGAAGAGAGAAGGGACTAGCCTGCAACTTCTGCTGCCAGCATCTTCAAGTCTTGTTTCAGGGTCCTCAGTGGTTTCTATGGCAACAGCGAGTTCCGTTCATAACACACAGCTAGAGAGACTATAGACTGTAAAACCCACCGAAGGGAGAGGTTTCTGGGTGAGCAGGGATCTGGCCTCGTTGCTCCTGGCAACGAGGGGGAGAAAATTAATGTCAGTAACATTAACGTTGTTGTTCCTTGTACTGACAACATTGTTTGTGTTTGTGTTTTGTTGCTGTTGCTCAATTAACAAATATGTGTTGTTCCTCATATTGACAACAACATTGTGTTTGTTTGTTTGTTTGTTAGTTTGTTGTTCTCACAGAGTGATGGTGGAAGTATCGAGGTCCACGACACAGACATCAGACGGCTTCTCGAACACATTGAAATACTGACTGTCCACACCTATACATTCAGGAACATTCAGAACAACAATAAAATGGATAGGAATAGGCGTATAGGAAAGGACTGAGTAGAAAAAAAAACAGAAAAATGTAAAAAAGGGTTATCACTAGGACTGATGTAAAACAAACAAAAAAACCAGAAAAAAAACGTCAGAAAAAGGTTGTCGCTGTGCCTCATTTTCTCCCATCTTGTAAAATTTGATTCAGCTTCTCTCTCCCCATCCCGACCTCCTTCGAGAAGGTTCGAGGAGGTTCGATGCGCTTGAACTACACCCTGTAAAGATTCCCCCACCGTAATGTATAATGTACCAATGATGAATGGGACGGGGGCCTGCATGTAGTTGGAGAAGGCGAGGGGACACATGGGGATGTAGGTGCACTGCCAGGAGAAGGGGAAGAGGACGGAGCGAAGAGCTTCCCCGATGGAGGTGAGGAGGGCAGGGCGGGCAGACGTGAGGACCATCTTCTGTTCCAGAATGAGGAGAGAGTGGAGGGAGAGGAGGGTGGGAGGGTCCAGGGTTGCCAGTAGCGACCAGTGGGTGAAGACACTGCGAGGTTAAATAAACTTACAACAGGCCAACTTCAGCTACCATAATAATAATGGTGGTAATGGTTCAGTAGCAAACGAGAGTTTCACGCAATACAAATGTCCCTCACACACAACGTTTGTTCAGTAGGTTTACAGAGTGTGAAAGCTCTCTCTACGAGAAAGTTTTGTATTCAGTGCGAGATGTGTATAATGGTGACAACCTGTGTGTCACCTGACTCAGTGATACCTACCTGAGGGGGAGAGGTGTCTGTACCGGTAGGGAGAAGACAATCTGCTCACATCCAATGAACAGCTGGACTCGAGGTCTCTCCATTGTTGGGAACGGTGCATCCAACATCAGGTTACCTATGTACCTGGTGTGTGTGCATGTGTGTGTGTGTGTGTGTGTGAGAGGGAGAGAGTAGAATTACAGACTTGAGTAGCTGTTAATGAGCTGATAGGTCTTGTGCTGTGGCCTAGAAATACCTGCCAAGTATTCTCTGTGATGCAATTTCTGTAAGTGAAGGACTTTTTATGCTACTGCATATGTTTGTCTTCAAAAGATGAAAAGGGATAGGAAGGAGGGAGAAGAGGGAGGAAGGGAGGAGAAGAGGGAGGAAGAAAGGTGGTGGAAGAGAGAATGAGGAGGAGGAAGAGGAGGGAGGAAGAGAGAGAGAGGGGGTAGAGGAGACCTCTCGAGGGGGATGGTGTTCCTGGACACGGAGAGTCTGTAGAGAGAAGAGAGGAAGGCTCTGAATGAGGAGAAGAAGGGCCAGTGGGAGAGGAGACAGATACACTTGGTCACGTGGAGCACTGCCTGCAGACGAGAGAGAGAGAGACTTTCCTCACAGACTGTGCAGCAACTTTGTTGAGTAAGATTACATAACTAGTGTATATGTGGACACTTCAGAAGGAGCTGTTTCATTGGGTACATACTGTAGTACATTGTGAGTAAATGGAGTAATAGTGTCGATTCACACCATCGGGCATCGGGTAGAATAACCCAGCAACTTCTGTATAATTATACATACCTCCTAGCATGCTGTAACTAATATCATATAGTTGTATATGGTACCTCAGGTGAAACATTGAGTGACTCCCGCATGTCTTCCCTGATCTCCGTCTCTGACATCTGCTCATAGAATGCCACCACTGCTCCATACATCTGGTGGGAATACGTAAATATCCATCTTTGTACACTTGATTCACACTAACACTGACACAACTCGATGATATACCAAAACAAGCATTTTTGGCACGACAAGTTAATTGGTTCAACATGTATAGTAACAGCACAGAAAAATCATGCTTTAACAACAGCTGGAATCGAAACAGCAAAACCCATATTAGAAAAATCCACACAATCCAGATAAACTATTAATGTGGGCACACCCTTTGGTTACCAATGAGTAGTTGCAGGTTAGATACGGAGTGTCTGGACGCATGTACATTTTATACAGCTTTCTTAATTGGATGCCTGATATTTTTGATGCACCTCCCATTACACAACTCTTCTTTCCTCTCCCCCCTCCCTCCCTCCCTCCGTCCCTCAGCAGGGACTCACACAGATCCCTCTTTCATTGGTGAGGGCAAAGGTGGAGAAGGAGGGGAGGGGGAAGGAGGCGCGGCGATCCCAGTGCTCCACCGACACACCAGACGGCAGACAAAACAGAGGAACACTCTCAGGCAGGAGGAAATCAGCGTAGTCCCTCTCCGGGAACCTAGGGGTTAAAACAAAAAAGAAAAATTGTAGATTCTGTATAATTATATACAATTTCACACACATTTCAGCTCTATGCTACAGACCTTAGCATAGCATAAGAGGAATGAAAATTCTTTGCTAAAACCAACTACTCTGCTAATCAGACCTTCCAAAGAAAAAAGTTGGGCTTCTTTGGAGGTACATACTATATAGAATTAAAAAAGAAATCTTGGGACCTCAGTGTGTCCTTCATTGAGAGATCTACTTTGCCCCTTGTCAATATAGTATAGACAAAACCTTGGGAGACATTTCTTTCACAACGCAAATATCCATCTCCACGGTGCATACCAAGTACTTATTTCACTTTCAGTTTCCGAGGGGTGATGATATTTAATTACCTTGATATGATCTCAGGGGTGAAGGAGATGGAGGGGGGGTGATATTTAATTACCTTGATATGATCTCAGGGGTGATGATATTTAATTACCTTGATATGATCTCAGGGGTGAAGGAGATGGAGGGGGGATGGACCTGGCTGGTTTGGTAACAGAGAAATACGGCTGGAGTCACCAGACCTTTGTTGAGGTCGACTTGCAGCTGCTTGTAGCCTGCCGGGACCTCCTCACCCTGCGTGGATCACATGACACATGGGAGTGGGTCACATGACCAGATCATGTGAGTCAGGAGTGAGTCACATGACCAGAGTACATGATCAGGAGTGGGTCATATGATCAGGATGGTTCACATGACCCTATTATTATGTACATCATTAGGAGTGGATCACATGACCAGATCACATATTCATACATACAGGTAAATATGGTTGGAAATGGGACAGCAGCAAGATAAGGCGAGACAAGAATATTGCAGCGAGAGATTGAACGTTTTGCAAAACAGCTGTACACTGAGTGACTATACTAACAAACTTGCGGGATAAAACGAGACAATTTTTATGAGCAATATCGAGTTACAAACCTTGCCGGGCATAATGAGACAGAGCTCTGTGATTGCCGTGTTGTGCCCGTAGAGAATGCCTCGTTTAATAGTGATGTAAGTAGGGGTTCCCCCCTTGTTGAGGTCGGCAGGGCGACCACCCACCGAGAAGGCAACTGTCTCATGTCCCAGAGGAGGTGGGTGTGGCTGCTTTGAACTGGTATAGAACACACTACAGAACAGATGATGTAATGGTTACAACATTGTTGTATAATTATAGCTATCATGAGATGGAGACCTTATTTCAGTGATGGGTGCCTTGTCTCGTCCACGACAGTACGCCAGGTGAATGGCCCCTCCGAATAGGGCCCCCGAGTTTAGGTTGGCTGTGTGACCCCCGGGGGTCTTTTCAATACAGCTGGGGGAGGGGGGAGGGGGGGGGAGAGGAAAGAGCGAGAGGATGGGAGATGGCTCGGAAACAGTTATGTGTTTGCATAATTGTACGAGTACACATGCATGTATATACACACATACACGTTGCTTTACTACACACACACAGCTGCTAGCCGCTGCGATAAACACAAAGCCTACTAGACTTACTGGTAGCCTTTCGGAGAGGTCTCATACTTCTTGAACACCACGGCAATGTCGGTGATGGGGTCCGCAGCAGCCGTCTGGAGATCCACATCCTCCGTGGAAGGTAGCGGCTCGAACCTGCCGCCACACGCACGCAGGAAGGAGAAGGAAGACAGGTGTGCACGTGTGTGATCGCTATCCTACCGCACTGCGCACACCTATACTTACCTCGACACGTTCTGTCCGAGCCCTACAACTAGGAAATAGTCGGCCAATCTCTCCGGTCCACCCTCCATCCCTTTCGCTCAGCCCCCGGTAGTATTTTTACACGCGGGTGCATTGCATAATATCCCGGTAATTATTTGGGCCGGTCTCGTTTGTTTATTCGCCGAGTGTATCCAGAACTGGGAGACCTTTTCTTGCATCTGTGGTGATAATGGCGTCCCAGGCCCTATGGAGAAGAGGTGCGAATGTCTATTCCACCCGCCTGGTCGAGCTAAACAATGTCTCGAGGAATTTTATGAGGGCGATTCTAATTAAAGCGCACCACTTCGTTCTGCAGTTCCTCTGGCGCTGCTGGTTCGGTCTCACCTGGCGCCTGCTAGCGTGGCGGCCGCTTCTCGCCAGCTGGTTCCCGGGCGAAGTCAGCAAACAGCGGCCCCCGCAGTTCCCGCGAAGAGAGGGCGACTGGACAACAGTGCAGAGTTTGTAGTGGCAAAGTTGGACGACCTCATCAACTGGGCAAGAAAGGTGAGTGGAGGAGGGAGAAAAGAAGGGAAAGAAGAAGCTTGCTGTTTGCTTGCTGTGTCCTGCAGGGTTCCCTGTGGCCAATGACGTTTGGCCTGGCCTGCTGTGCCATAGAGATGATGCACGCAGCTGCCGCCAGATACGACATGGACCGTCTTGGAGTCGTCTTCAGAGCCAGCCCCGTGAGCTTCTACCATCTCTGATTGCAGTATCTAAGGACACCTCTATAATAAGGACACCTTCTTTTCCCAATGACATTTCAGGCAAAGTTAACCCCTGAAGTAAGAAGACCCACTAATATGGGAACTTTTTCTTTCCCAAAAAAACACAAGTTATAGCCCCTGAAAACTAGAAACCCTGCTAATATGTACACTTTCTTCTGTCCCATTAGTGTTGAGATTATAAGAGGGCTCCACAGTTTAACCTCCCCCATGCCCCATCCACAGAGACAGTCGGACTGTATGATAGTAGCAGGGACACTGACCAATAAGATGGCTCCAGCCCTCCGAAAGGTCTACGACCAGATGCCTGAGCCTCGCTGGGTCATCTCCATGGGAAGGTTAGAGGATCAGAGAATCTTTATTTTCGTTTACAAACAGCGTAATTGTGTATTAGCAGATGCGAAATCCATCAAACACTAGTCCAGGTGCTGTGTAGGCAATGCGTACGCCCCATTAAAGGTGAACAAGGTGATTTATCTGAGTACGTAAGCGCAAGCCAACTAGTCCAGCTGAAGCTAGCAATAATTATGTGTACGCGTGTGTCACACTCAGGAATGTCGGTTAGTCAATTATAAATGTGGCTAAGATCGAAATTTCTATGTTTCAACGATAATGAATCACCTGGTATATTATAGCTGTGCCAATGGAGGAGGATACTACCACTATTCTTATTCTGTGGTCCGAGGTTGTGACCGCATCGTTCCAGTGGACATTTACGTCCCCGGCTGCCCGCCCACTGCTGAGGCACTCATCTACGGCATTCTGCAGCTGCAGAAGAAAATCAAGAGATCCAAGACGCTGCAGATGTGGTACAGAAAGTAACTCCCACCAAAACTCTCCTTTCGACGTCCGTATGTATGTGTGTCTGTACTGTATTTATGTCTATAGTGTTAATCGACTTGTGCGCATGCGCGGTATTATAAGCCACGCCCACTTAATGCCACACCCCCGATGACGATATAATATACGACGGGTGTGCTGAACGAAAGACGCCTGCATCAAAGAGGCAATGGCTTGTTCGTCGACTCTAGAGGCGGAACTGCCTGGCAGTACTGGTAGAGGGAAGAGAGGAGAGGCGGCAGAGATGGACTTACTAAAAGACCTGCCCAGTTACGACCGTGAGAACTTCTCTCGTTTCTCACACGGGTGCTGGCAGGTCTGATGAAATCTTGCAAAGCCCTATACTAGCCGCGAGCCTGTCTCTCTCCCTTTGCAGACCCACCAGGCAACCAGCAAGCCGTATATCAGGCTCAAGAACGGGACAGAAGATCACGCCATTGGTAAATGTATTACGTAACCATTACCTCACTATAAATATTAGCGACTGCTAATGATGTTTGTATAGAGATCCTGACGGACAACACTAGTATAATGCTGAGAGACCTCGAGAGAGAGGCCATGAAGAACAACAGAGTAAGTTGCAGTGGTTTTCTAGAATGGGCCGGAAAAGCAAAGGTCCATGACACAAAATGCATTTCAGTATTGTGTGAATGGTCAGATGTGTGATATTAATTGTGGGTAGGCCCCTGAAACTGACAGTGCAATTGAGGGCACAGCATATGAATGTCATTTCTCTTCTCTCTGTCTCTCTGTCCAATGTCATTTCTCTTGTCTCTCTCTCTTTCCTAACCCCCCCTCCATCTATACACCTCTCTCTCTCTCTGTGCAGCTGACACTAAAGAGAAGTGGGGTGAGAGAAGACACTTCTCGCAAGGTACCGAGACTGGACCTGGACCAAACTCCCCAGACCCAGTCGGCTCCCTGGACTGCTGATTCTCCATCTAGTGATCCTAACTCACCCCCTCTCCTCCACCCTCTCTAGTTTCCTATCACATGATCCCTTGGCTCCACCCCCTTATATGCCACCTATCCAACTTTCATCTCCACTATCTCTTGTAGAGTTTCGGATGTGCCTGTGTATGCATATTATTATGACTGTTTGGTTAGCACATTTGCAATATCCGGCAGAAAGTTTGTATATTAACAGATTTTAGTGCAGCCCCATTTTATCCCGCTCCCTCAAAAATTTTTTGTTACACAATCCTCCAATCCCTTGTTTTTTTTCTTCTTAAAGCTGCTTTTTTTAACGAGAACATTTAGTTGCTACCATTTTTTACATATCAAAGGGATGAAGAGAATAAATTAACATTAACACATCTGATAATAATTACAGCCTATTCATCATCCTATGCCACATGTACACATAATATTACAAGTTTTAGATCCACTTGATGATTGTGTCATAGAAACAGGGGCTTCCCTCTCCCTGTGTCCCCAACACTACAACTTGTCGAGGTAATTGGACAGGTCGGGAAGGCTCTCCTTCAGCCCCTTCCGCTTGCGGGTGTCCGTGACAACAATCCCTGGCTTGGTGGTGGGGTCAAAGGGATCACCGGGCAAGATCTGCCAGTGGTCGAAGACGCACTGTGGGAAGGCCTGGCCTGAGGTGTTGGAGCGAAGATCAGCTGTGAATCCTGCGGCGGGGTGGGGGGAGGACAGAGCATGAAACAGCACACAAACAGAAAGAAGTGAACACAACAGAGAACGTCAGAGCTCATAGCAGTATCGTGCTGTCAGGGCGTCTAAGTTAGCTAGCTCCAATCCAGTTTGCCAAAAACAGAGAGGAACAGTATCAGATGCTTGCTATGAGAAAGGCTCAGACACACGAGTCACACAGATATGCCACGCTGTGCAGCCCAGCCCGTTAAATGCAAAGAAACTTGAGGGTGCCGTTAATTCAGACAAATTCACCCTTTTTTGTGTGGACGGATGTCTAGGGCGTAGGATGCTCTGCACACAACACAAGTAAAAAGAGAGATGGAGAGAGAGAGAGGTCGGGTTGGCGTGTCGCGACGTACCAAATGACTCATTCACAGGGAGGTTGGCCTTGACGATGAACATGGGGGTCCCGATCACCTGCGTCTCCTCGAAGACGTGGCCACGCCTCCTGTTCAGGACACCATAGATACCGCCCACAGCAGCTTCAGGACACTGGAAGATAGAAAAAGACGATGAAATTACGAAGCGGTCCAAAATACTCTCTCACAGTCACAAAAGCACGCAAAATTCTTTTCCAGTTCTGATCTTAGAGGGTGTGTTCACTTCACAATATATCCACACATAATACAGACCTGAATCTCGACGAGGTAGACTGGCTCCTGGATACGGGGGGCGGCCGTCAGCATGCAGGCGTACAGAACGCGACGTGCGGTCGGGATGATCTGGCCTCCTCCTCTGTGGATGGCGTCGGCGTGGAGCGTGACGTCGTGGATGTTGAACCTTACTCCACGAACGTTCTCCTCACACAATACTCCCTGGACGAGGAGAGAAAGAGGAGGAGACATGAGGTAAGGGAAGGAAACACGGGGAAAGGTAGTGGAAAGTGGAGAGAGACAATAAAAGCAAAACAATTGCATACAAGAGAGGATAGGAAGACCAATGCAGCTGCCACACATAGTGACCCCTAACTCCACACAGAATTAAAACCAACCTTCAGCACAATGGGAAGGCATAAGCACAATAAACGACCTCCAAACCGGTTACTCTATGAAAATGTGGCACTGCTCGGCACGGAACACCAAGTAACAGGAGACAATATCTACAGTCACACTGCGTGAGCTGTACTTTAGTCCCCCGTGTGACACACAGATGGGGATATTAGGCCCCGCCCACCTCTTTAGTGGCCCACTGGAACCCAGCGACCACACTGTCCTTGATCTCGTTGAGGTACTGGACTCCCTTGGAGACGTCCATGAGGAGGTTCGGTCCCGTCCCCTCGGGTCCGAAACACCATATCTTTCGAGACTCGGTCGCATCCCATTCGTACTTCTCCACCAGGTACCGGGCTCGCACCTTGGGGTCCTGACGAGGGGCCACCTCACCCTGCGCACGAGGAGGGGAAAACTGTCACAGATGGCTAAACAATAGTTAGACATTAAGTCCGTGAGATCTACGCGCGTTAGAAGCCCCGACGGCACTTGCGTTGCGGCATTTCGAGCGCAGCGAGGATGATACGTGAAAGGCCCGAGGGCATGAATGCATAGGTGTTTTGAAGCACACGTCAATACCCTTTGCAAACTGAACATTATACCACAGTCTGAGAGAGAGAGAGAGAGAGAGAGAGAGAGAGAGAGAGACCTTGTCAATATCCTCGGCCAGTCCGTCCGGCAATGGACCGGCCGTCATGAACAGCCTGTTGTGCTTGTTGGGAGATTTGGACAGACAGATCTGAGAGGAGGGCTCTGAGACTGTCTCGCGGTATGAGACGACTGGATCTGACTTCTTGAGAGGGATGCAGGCGTGGTCCTCCTCCAGGTCCTTCAGACATATCTCCAAATGGAGCTCACCAGCACCTGTGGGTGCATAGTACAACACACACTTTGACCACATTGATGACGACACACGTTAAAAAACTAGGAATAATGTATGTTGTATGTATGTATGTATGTATGTATGTATGTATGTATGTATGTATGTATGTATGTATGTATGTATGTATGTATGTATGTATGTATGTATGTATGTATGTATGTATGTATGTATGTATGTATGTATGTATGTATGTATATGTACCAGCAACTATGTGTTCTCCACTCTCCTCAATGGAGCACTGGACCATGGGGTCTGACTTGGCCAGCCTCTTGAGCCCCTCGACCAGTTTCGGCAGGTCAGACGGGTTTTTGGCCTCCACGGCAACGCGGACAACTGGCGACACACTGAACTTCATCACCTGCCAACAGAGGAAGTGAGGGAGTGAACAGAGTACATAGTTCACATAGTCCGACCAACAATATAACTATTCAGATTACACGTAAGTTATGAAAAGTGGTGCTAATCACCAATCATTGTAAATACATAACCACCCAAAAAGGAAAAATAACTAACAAGCAACTCTGTTTTCCACCTACACTCCATGACTCAACACTTCTCTTACTGACTCCACCCACTTACTCCTCCCGCCAGCCACTCCCTGACTCCGCCCACTCACCCGTAGATTGTGGGCGTGTTCGTAAGTGGAGATTGTTCCAGTCTTGATGAGGTACTGGTCCACACCCACCAGTCCAACTATGTTGCCACAGGGAACGTCTTCGATGGCCTCCACGTACCTGCCCATCATGAGAATGGTTCTACAGGTGGAGAGAGAGAGAGGAGGAGGGGGGAGGGGAGGGAGAGAGAGAGAAAGAGAGAGAGGAGGAGGAAAGAAAAGCGAAGGAGATGTTACTGGTACCTAAATTCCCGTGACACTCGTGAACTTCGTAAATTTGCACGAGTATGTGTGTATGCATGTTAGCTATTTGGAAACTCAGAGTGCTTTGTGGCAACAATAACTGAATAGCTGGTGGCATGTGATGTGAGGAATGACCATTGAATGGCCCAATATTTTTTTTTCATACATCGTGAAAAAACATCATGGACAAATGGTCCACAAAAAACCGTTCAAAATCGTGAAAATTGTGCACTCAAGGGTTTGGTTGAACATGGTACCACAGACAGACAGACTGGCTGGCTGACTGACCGCTGGATAGGTTTGATGAAGAGGTCCTCTCTCTTCCCGGGGGTGTAGTTTGGTCCCATGATCCGGCATTTCATCCCCGTGCCAACTATCCCAGAGAAGACGCGACCAAATGCGTAGAAACGTCCCTTGTCGGTCGTCGGGACCATCTTGGACACGTACATCATCAGCGGAGCCTGAGGAGGAGGGGAGGGGGAGATGATTTCCTACACAAAATGCATCACCACGACAACTCCTGATACTGGATAAGTCTTGCAATGTAGACGTCCTAATCAAGCTCTCTCGCCTTATGACATCATTGCAAGTGGTCCATTAAATTCACCCACACCCCAGCAGCGTAACAAAATATTGGGAAGATCAACTTTATACGCACCATTCGGGAAATGTCATGTTTTTCTTGGCCGACTACAAAATTTTACTTCTGTAGAGACCGATTTTTTTGGAAACAAGAGGCATGAGAGGTGAAAAAGAAAGAGGAAAAGGGAAAAAGAGAGGAGGAGAGAAGGTAGACTGACCTTTTGGTCGCAGGTCTTGATGCCGATGGCACAGGGGTCGTCATGGGGACCCTCGTAGAGGAGCTCCATGCGGTATCTCTGGGCCGTGAGAGGAGACGGGAGGTGGATGGTTATCATCTGCAACATGGTGTCGCCAGCCGGCAGCCACTTCCTGCACACACACAGATATCACATCATGGGACAGCAGCAGAAATTTCGAAACACTTTATCTCGCTCCTATCATTTGCTGCTTTTGTCTTCCATCTCCCTACTACCTCTTGTCTTCCATCTCCCCTCTACCTTTTGTCTTCCATCTCCCTACTACCTCTTGTCTTCCATCTCCCCTCTACCTTTTGTCTTCCATCTCCATACCTCTTGTCTTCCATCTCCCTACTACCTCTTGTCTTCCATCTTCCCTCTACCTTTTGTCTTCCATCTCCCCTCTACCTTTTGTCTTCCATCTCCCTACTACCTCTTGTCTTTGGCTTTTTGCTCCTATCTCTCCCCCCTCCTATCTCACTCCTACTAATACAATGTAAGGAACACTATTTACCTCATGACGGCCTTGAGAAGGGGTTTCCCCTCCTTCTCGCGGTCCTCAGAGTCGAGTTTTGATCTGCAGTTTCTCAATCATCTTGGCCGTCTCGTCTTTCTTGAAGTTCATGATGGCATCAAACACCTAGAGAGAGGGAGGATAGGAAGAGAGGGGGGAGGGGGAAGGGGGGAGAAGGAAAGATTTGCAAAAGCTCTAATTCTTTACTACAGTGGATTCCCTCTAATCCGGAGACACTAACAGAACAGGAGAAAGTGTTAATATTAGTGAGGTGGCCATATTTCAGGGGTTGCAAAAGTTACTCTTTGGGAAATAGAAGGTGTCCTCATCAGAGAGGTGCCTCCATTTTGTCTTTAGAGAGGGGTTCTACTGTATCCAACAATGCTTGTTCCACAAGCTTGTTCGTGTATAGAACGTCTATAATGTCTATCTCCCCCTCCTGAACCCACCATGCACAGCTCATTGGCCACCTTGCCCCCATGGAACGGTTAAAGTGTGCTACTCCTACACAATCAAGAAACTGATCGGCCCAGAGGTGTCTTCATTTTGTCTCCCACATCTCCTTACCTTGAAGATGGGGTCGAGGACGAACTGACAGAACCCTCGGACGTACCCCTCTCCCCCCGTCTTGTTCCACTTCCTCTCCTTTGGGCTGTAGAACTGGTCGCCCCACAATCGCTTCATGAGCTTCGGCGGGTCAATCTTGAACTTGGACGAGTAGATTTCGGCAAACTGTTTGAGAGTGAAGGCCCAGCCGTGGAGACCTGAGCCAAACCCCACCGTTCCCTTCGTGGGGTCCACCTGGAGGAGGAGGAGGAGGAGGAGGAGGAAGGAGGGTGGAAGTTGGTTTTGAGGACAGGAAATGGCCAAGAGTCTGGACCACCAGTTCACTCTCTCACTGACCACAGCCTATTAGCTGTGCTATTCACTGAGACACCAGCCAAATCATTGCCCAAATGCTCTTCTCTCTCTTAGTACATATCGCTGTAACCAATTAGGCAAGTCACACAACATGCACATTCCTACATCTCCTCCTAAGAGTTCAAGGTAACAGTTCAGGCTCAAAAGGCCAGCAACAACTTTAGCACTCCAGTCTATATCTCCATTTAAAAGAAGTGCACAAAAAGCGTTTTACGGAATTGCTACCTTATAAGGCAGCTAGCAATATTGACTCTCGTATTCTCATATTTCCCATGTATATACATACCATGATGTTCCCCATGGGGCTGTCTTCATCATTGTAGGTAGCCACGATGACATTCAAACTCTCCACGATCCTCTGGAAGGTCTGGTAGAGATCTTCCTGCTGTAGCTGGAGCTCCAGGAGAGCTCTGTCCATCTTGTTGAGGAACGCCACGGGCTTTATCCTCTCGGCGATGGCCTGTCGTAGTACCGTCTGAGTCTGGACGCACACACCTGTCGGAGGAGTGCCAGAGTGGGGAAGGAGAAGGAGGTGGGGAGAGAGGAAAGAGAGAGGAAGGGGGAAACAGGAAGATAGAGAAGGAGGAGGGGGAGGAGGGGGAGATAGCATCCTGCTTTTGGAAATGTTTGACGCATGAAGTCAGCTGGATCTACAGAACCGCCACATCCACACAGTGTACTATTACAATTTGTATTGCCTGTACAACTTGAACACAAGACAAAGAGAGCAATAGAGCTAAATTTATACGAGGCAGAGAGAGAAAGGGAGAACTAACTGACTGAGGAGAAAGAGATCAAAAAAAGTGAGAGAAAAGAAAGCAGCTCACCGCTGACACAGTCCACGACGACGAGGGCTCCGTCGGTGACACGGAGGGCAGCTGTCACTTCACTGGAGAAGTCCACGTGGCCGGGCGAGTCGATGAGGTTGATAAGAAACCCTGTCCCGTCTTTCTCCTGCGTCACATACTGCAGATCTTTCTCACTCAGCTCATAGTACAGAGAGATAGCACTGGGGGGAGCCGGAATAGGACGGTCGGAGAAAGGAGAGAGAGAGAGAACAAAGATATCTGTATTTGCGCGGAAGTTCAAATGTTCATCGAAAAAGGTGGTTTTCTATAGCAGTGCATATTGTATGCCAAAAAATACTCTGCGATTTTGTTGATGTATGCACCATGGGAACAAACGGTGCCTTATTCATTTTCTACTTTGAATCCACCTGGACACACATTTGACCCCCTCCCCCCCATATTCCTACATTCCTCCAGCTGAGAACAAACATATGCCCATATACACTCACGTGGACTTGATAGTGATGCAACGCTCCTGCTCGTCCTTACGAGTGTCGGTAAACCGCGTCTCGCCGGCCCGAGACCCGGCAATGATTCCAGCCTTGCTAACCAGCGAGTCGGTCAGCGTGGACTTGCCGTGATCCACGTGAGCGATCACGGACATGTTGCGGATGTTGGACCGCTTGTCCATGATGGCACGGACCTACCGAGACAAATAAAACGGCATGGTTACGACGCTCTTCACTGATATCCATCTTTACCACCCAGTGTTTGCACGGACACCGCGTGAAAGATACGTGGTGCTAGCTAGACTAGAGAACGGTACTCCGGCGTACGTGTGTGTGTAGGTAACGCACCTGCTCTACCGTGAAGTTCACCTGTTACCGACATGTGGAGAGAGGGAGAAAGGGAGAGATAACATAGAATCTGAGTGACATTCACTAAAGGTCATCCACACTAGCTGTGGAGCCAAAGCCACTCCAGCGGCACTCTCCCCGCGTAACCCGTTTCACGGCTAAAATACGCCATTCCCGTATGCCCTCGCGTATAAAGGAGACACGGATTGCCTCTATAGACTCACCATCTTGGCAGATTCTTCTCCCCGCCGCTCCTACAGCCCTTTGTCAACCACCAGAAAGCGGCCGTCGAAAAAGGAAACTGATTGCGCAACAACTCTAGAAGGGTGGTCGATCGACCACACGTGCTCTGGACCTATTGCGCACGCGCAACATTTTCGCTCTGCCCTGCCCGTGTGCTGTCTGCTCGGAGGGAGGATGGTGCTTGGTCTGTGGAGCGCGGGTCGCGAGTACGCCGTCCAGGACCTGGTCATCTTTGCTCTGACGGCAGTAGTTGGACTTGTAGTTATTCTCGTCTTCTTCTGGTTCTGGGGCGGCGACTCTGGTCGGGTAAACTGGTCCGTCTCTACCAGAGAGCTAGCTAACCATCTTTCTCTCTCTGCAGTCGGCTAAAGTCAAGGCAGGGGAAGCCAAGCAACCTGCCAGGTGGAACCAACCTCCAGCAGACGAACAGTGAGACTGGCTGCACCTCTAAACCTACCGCCACACCTATAGATACGGCTGCCGTGCTGCTGCACATGCATGGGTGGATTGCTCTGTAGTAAATGCCGTCTTTGGCGTATGTAGAGGTGTATCTGGCCCACAATAGAGCACGTGTAACCCACAGAGCTGGCTCTATACCTGTTCTCAACCTATAGTTCTATGTACAGGGAGTTGGCATAGCTCAAATCTGGTTATATAGGAACAACTGCCTTACATTCATTACACATAGTTTGAAGTTGTTCTCTGCATATCCCTCTGTTTCTTCCACTATCTCTCTCCTATCCTCCCTCTCTCACATAGACTGGGTGATCTGGGGGAGCTGCAGAAGGCAGGGAGTCTCCACGAGTACCTCCTGGAGCTCCATGACCACGGTCGCTGTCCTGTCTCCTCGTTCTGGTGGGGGAAGGAACAGGTCGTCAGTGTCTGCAGTCCGCAGGCTTTCAAAGACACCGTCAAGTTGACTGACAGGGCAGGTGAATAGTGGAGGAGGGAAGGTGAATAGTGGAGGAGGGAAGGTGGAGCTTCAGTCTATTCATTTCTCTGTATATAGTCTGTAGTGAGTAGTGTCTGGGTGTGTTTTTACAAGGTTTGCTTCTCATTTGTCCTCATTGTGTGTATAGCCACTCTGTGTCTTGTGAGGACGCAAATTACATTGTTGACAAAGAAACAAGTTTTTACAAAGTAGTGTCTTTTAGACCTCGCTGTGTAAATTTTTTATTATCGTTTTATCATTTGTGTTTGCCATTTAACGACACATAATCCTGTCTTTATAGTTCCTGCTTTATGTGCGATAGATCTCAGCTAGTCCCTCCATCTCGTCCCTCTAGTCCAGCTCCAGATAGCCTTTGCACCACTGATTGGGCTGGAGAGTATCCAGTACTCCAAGGGAGAGGACTGGGAGGGTCGGAGACGATGTCTCTATCCTGTCTTCAAGGGAGAGACTCTCGAGTCGTACTTTCCACACTTTGTCCATATCGCTCAGGTGGGCAGGGGACAGTGCCCCATATTGTAGTGTAGAAATACACTACATAGAGGGCCTAAGAGCCTCTAATGCACATTGAGTTCGACAAGTAAGCCATCCATCCATTTTATATATAGGTCAATGTGTAAATGTGGTCCTAGCTAACATAATGCTCAAGTAGCTGCTTTGAAAAGAACAACAGGAACAACAGGAACAGCGAAAGCCTGAAAGACCAGGATGAGTGTGAAGCTAATCCATTCAGGTGTTCTCTGCAGGAGGTGGAGAAGGAGTGGTCGTCTCTGGAGTCAGGGGAGAGGGTACCCCTACTGAAGACCGCCTTCTCCATGACCATCAAGGGAATCACCAGGTGCATCTTTGACGATTCTTTTGAGGACAAGCTACTGGTGGAGAAGGTGTCCACTGCCTACAAGAGCGCCTGGGGAGAAATGGAGGTAACCGTTGCGGAAGGTGGATAGATATCTGAGGCACTAAAACCTGGCCATGGCGTTCGTAGGCAAGCTAAACTGCCATTGTGTGGATTGAAGGTAGCATACGTAAATCGTACGTTTCGCTAAGAAATTGCTGTTTCTGCCATTTCCCGTACTCTAGTGACCCGCAGAAAAGGGGTTCTGTTCTAAAATGGAACGGGCAGTGACTTTATACGATGTTGCAAAAAAGGGCAATGTGGTTTAGAGTGCATAGCCATGGCACTGTTTGTTGTGACATCTCCCCCTCCTCTGTCTTTCCCTCTGTCGTTCTCCCGCGCCCAGACTCGTATCAAGGAAGGGTCCAGTCCCCCAGAGGGGAGCGACAGAGATGTGGAGTTTCAGAAGAACAGAGGCTATCTGAGAGATGTTGTCAAGGGAGTCATCAGTCGTCGCCGGGAGGGGCTGGGCGGAGAACACGTCCCCTTCATTGACAACCTCCTGCAATCTGGAGTCCCTGACGATCAGGTCTATTAATAGCAACAGTATGACGTTGTAATAAAAACCACCCTGTTGCTATTTATAGGTTGTGAGCGATGCGATTGCGTTTATGATTGGAGGGTTTCACACGAGTGGCAACTTCATCGTGTGGATGATGTGGTACCTGGCCACCCATCCAGAGGTTCAGGAACAACTGAGGGAGGAACTGGAGAGAGAGACAGGTGGAGAGAGGGGCGATCGTCTCAGGAAATATGCCTCAGCCGTCTCAACCAATTACACCACGTGAGCAGGATTTTAATGAGGACGAGTTTATTTTGTATGGCTGGGAGTTTGATGGTTCATCCAGGTGATGAGGTTTTTGTGTCAGAGGAGTTCTTATTGAATAGCATGACTGTGCGATCAGAGCAATGTATATCTCTCTCTCCTTCTCAGCTACTTCCGCCAGGTGCAAGATGAGACTCTAAGACTCAGCACGCTGGCACCCTGGGCTGTCCGAGAGTCACCTGATGACATCATTATTGACGGTCACCTCGTTCCAGGGGGGACCCCCATCATCCAGGCCCTGGGTGTGGGTCTTCGTAACACCACCACTTGGAAGGAGGGAGAACTGGAGGAGTAAGTCAGACAAGATGGAATGCGATACTCTTTACCTTCCTTCTCCTTGAATGTGGTTTTCTCTCTGGTATATAGTATTTTATGAGCGAGTCTACCTTTCAGTTGATTCCTTCTATTCTCCGATTTTTCAACTTTTGGTGTTCTCATGTTCGGAAGTAAGAGAAAGGGGGAGGAAAACGAGAGGTCATAGTTGAATGATAAATCCCTCCAATGTTGCTGCAGGTTCAACCCGGACAGATTTGCGGTCCACGCGGAGCAGCCAGAAGAGGTCTGGAGTTCTGTCCATTTGGGACTCCCAGTCGCCGCAAGTGCCCTGGCTACATCTTCTCCCACTTTGAGACCACTGTCATCCTTGCCGTTCTCCTGTTCCGGTTCCAGCTGGTCGCCGTTCCAGACCAGGTGGTGGAACGGGATCACGGACTGGTGACCATGCCAGCTAAAGAGCTCTACGTCTTGGTCAAGGAGCGTTGATTGTAGTAATGTACTGGTGACAAGCAATCCTTAGGTTTAGCTATATATAACTACAGCCAAGTGTAGATTGTATATACCCACTTTTTGCAATAGCTGTGATTAGCCTGCCTTGCATAGGAGGTGCCCCGAACTTTGTTGCTAAAAAAGACTGTCAGTTGCTAAAATTTCTGTAATAGTTGCTGCACATTGATCATGATCCATTATAGTTGCTGCACATTAAAATTTGGAGATGCACTCTGATCTATTAAAAATCTGCTGGAGGGAGTGATGTGATGCTGTCTGAAGTCAGCCAGGGGGACAGTCATTCACTAAACTGCCACTCCTGGCGACACATTGGGCACTGCTGCTGCATCTGCTGAGCCTCCAGCCACTTCTGTATGCAGTGGAGGTGGAAACTGTGCCTGCACTGCCCCGACACTGCGTGGGGAGCCAAGTAGTTATAGGTCAGTGTGACTACGCCCATTTGACCACGCCTACCGAGCGCGCAGTCGTCTCCGGGGAACTTGCAGTCGGGACAGCAGCCCTCGAACGGCAGTCTGCAGATGCCGCATTCCGTCTCGTCGTTGGGAGTGATCCATTTCCACACGGCCACCGCCCACCACTTCTTGAACTTCACTCTAAACTGGGGAGGAGAGGAGGCCGAGGAAGTTGACTCCGTCGCGGGGTCTGGGGTGGCCATGCTGCAATCTCCGTAATCTGTCGTGGCGTTTTCCGGATTCTGTGGAAGGAGAGGCTGCGTGCGCATGCTCAGAAGTGTGTACGTGCAGAGCAAAGCTTTGTCGAAGAACAGTGAAGTCACAAGGAGCGTTGAGCGTGTTAACTTTGGTCATCTAGTAGTGCAGCTACATAGAAGAGTCCAGGTTGCTGTAAACCCAAGACAGTTGCTGATCTCACCGCAGTACGTCCGTGAGACTGTGTTAGCGATGCATCGTCCACTTCGCAGCACCGACGACAGGTAAAGTTCTAGTGCATCGAGCGAAAGCTCGCAGTACAAAAAGCGAAGCCGCTCCAGCTCTACAGCTAGTGGTTAGTGCGTACGGTAGCGTAGTAAGGTCTAGACGTGCATGGTAGTGTCTGGTTCGGATGTCGCCACGTGTCTCTGGCTGTAGGTATAAAGAGAAAGGAGAGATGTTGAGACAAAGTGGTGGGTTGGTGAAGGAAGATGTGGAGAGAGGAGGGAGCGTGGAGGGAGGTGTGGTGGGGGAGGAGGGAAGGAGGGAGATAGGGGACTCAGTGAGAGACTCCCAGGCCTCAGCTCCCAGCGAGTTTGACATCAGCTCAACTGAAGTGGAACAGGCTCTAAGAACTCAAGGTAAAACATGCTCCATGTGCGGTATAATGAGTGAAAACTATCCCACTAAGTCACCTTATTGCCTCCACTGTGTATATATTTTTTTGCTATGTATTTGTGTATATCCATATTAGAGAGGTTTCAAACTTGCTTGCATGCAGGCTAGTGTTTGTTTTTGATTACCTGGAGGAGTCTTTGTTTGTTTAACGTGTCCCTTGCTCAGCTATGTTAACACATTACTGGAGTTCATTGGCAGGTGTGTATATATATACTGGCATGGCGTACTGCCTCGTGAGTGGGGTAGTCAGCTAGTGACATGGTCGAGAGATGAGGTTGACTCTAGTTGTCTGGCAGAGCTCTGCATGATTAGAATCTTGTCCAAGGCCTGTGACATGCTCTTTCTACCTCTCTTATAATTCAAATTGTGATTCCAAACGTTTTGCTGTGATTATTACTTCGTGGCCCACCCGCTCTCTTTTTCTCTTCTACAACAACTGAATGTGACATCCCATGTCTAACGTGAGTATTTCATTTTTACGCCATGTTTTCGTAAGTTTGTGATCAGAGTTTTATGTAAACCAGAAATCCCAATTTTTGCTGAGTGCACGGGGAGATGGATGAGCGTATTTCTACTACACGGGCATGACCTATTGGCTCATTGGAGCTAAAAAAGAAGATTATCTTCATAGCTTGTGTAAATTTACAGGATTTTCTCTCTGTCTGTCTGTCTGTCTGTCTGTCTGTCTGTCTGTCTGTCTCTCTCTCCAGAGTTTGATCTGAGTGGTAGTGGTGAGGAGGGAGTTGTCTCGTTGGGTGACCATCACTTCAATGGCCCCGAACACACTGACACCAGGTAATGCCGTGAGTAAACAATGGGGTTCTATTAGAGAGCAGGATACATCCGAATTTTAGAGTGTGGTATAATTAGAGTAGTGGGCATCTATGGCCAGGAAGTTCAACAGTTCATCAATCCAGTAAAGAGAGGGGCAGGCCAAAGGTCGTAGTACCTGTGTTGCATTGTCAGACAGACTGCCCTGGGAAACTACCGAACCTTGTTCACTTGTGTGTGTGTGTGTGTGTGTGTGGTGTGCTGACCCGGTTGCTGTGCTGTTAGAATAGGAAGACCTGCATTAACCCACATACATGCCGACCACAGCATGCCGACCACAGCATGCCGGAAGAGACTCTGGTGAAACATGACTAATGAATATTAGAACAGCTTTTCCCCAAGTAATTATATCACTTCCTATTGCATGTTTCTGACTTCCTTTTTGACGAGAATTGATGTACATACATATATACCATATTATTGGAAGTGCAAGGTGCACCTTTTATTGCGAATTTGCTTGAATGCAACTAATATATGCTGCAGATGCTAAAAGTGGGCATTGTCCATACATTAATACTCAATGCACGCTCTGGATATAGCTATATAGCAACACCTTAGCAGTAGCTTAAACATCCCTGCGTTGGTTATGAAGCACATTAACTATAAGCAAATGGTTAGTTCCAGGAAATCATTAGTTCCTGGCGTAAAACTGGTATGAAACTTATAATCATGTTTACTCTAGAAAACGCGCTAAAACCGCTCATCTACAGATTGTTACCAGAACCATCAGAGTGGTGGACCGACCAACCTGACAAACCAGTTAGTATCCGGTATGACACGTCTCCGGCGACGTCTGAAGTCCCTGAGACGGTGTTGCAGCTGTTCCAACGAACGGTTGCCAGCCATGGGGACCACTATGCCACTGGAGTGAAGAGACAGGGGGAATGGAGGATGGCCACTTACCAGCAGTACTTTGAACAGTGCTGTACTGCTGCCAAGGCCTTTATTGAGGTGAGGGAGAGGTGGAGAAGAGAGGGAGCTGGGGGGTTGGAGAGGGGAAATGAGAGACTTGTTTCTCTTCTTGCAGCTTGGTGTGGATCCGTTCCACGGGTCTGTATCTGGGATTCAATGCTCCAGAGTGGCACATCTCCTGTCTGGGGTCCATTCTGGCATGGTATGACAAGCTACATGATTCTCTTACCACTGAACGATAGCGTAGCTGTTATACTAATGGGACTTTGTTAATTTTCAGTTTTCGGTCTGAATAATGTTTCAGATGAAACAGTATACAACAAACTACTAGTGTTGTCAATGGCCAGTGAAACAATAACTCTTCCCACTGCAGTGGAGTATCGGTGGGGTTGTATCTGACCAGCAGTGCCGAGACGTGCTCCACCATAGCCTCCGACTGCAAGGCTCAGGTCATTATTGTCGAAAACGACTCACAGCTGCAGAAGATCCTGGAGGTTGGCAACCTGTGTGGTGTGTGTGTGTGTGTGTGTGTGTGTGTGTGTGTGTGTGCGTGTGTTGTGTCAGACAGCTTTGCATTAGTGAAACATTGCAGTTTATTTACAGGTTTTGGGTATCAAAAGAGAAATATCTGTGGTGTTGTTTTCTCCAGGTCAGAAGCAAGCTGCCTCATCTGAAGGCCATAGTTCAATACTCTAAGAGACTGACAGACTGTAAGGCGGATGGTGTTTCCATATTTGAGGTGAGCTAATACCACAACTATAGCCAGAAACATTCAAAAAGGAGAGAGAAAACTTCACAGTTTGGAAGCTGTCCACACAAAAGGTTTTCTCAGCAATACTTTGTGGGTGGGTGGGTTGGGTGGGTGGGGAAAAGATAAGTCGTGCATTTTACGCCATTTTGTATTGCGGGACCAGGCAATCAGCGAAAAATTTTTTCCCGCAAAAAACTCATTTGCCATTGGATCGCGAAACTTTTCTCTCTTGAAATGTCTCAACTCTATGTTTCATCTCTCTCTCTCTCTCTCTCTCTCTCAACTCTATGTTTCATCTCTCTCTCTCTCTCTCCACTCTATGTTTCATCTTTCTCTCTCTCTCTCTCTCTCTCTCTCTCTCTCTCAACTCTATGTTTCATCTCTCTCTCTCTCTCTCCACTCTATGTTTCATCTCTCTCTCTCTCTCTCTCTCTCTCTCAACTCTATGTTTCATCTCTCTCTCTCTCTCTCTCTCTCCACTCTATGTTTCATCTCTCTCTCTCTACCTGCAGTGGAGACACTTTCTGCAGCTGGGGAGAGGAGTGAGTGAAGAGGTGCTGAAGAAGAGGACGGACATGTTGGCTCCCAACAAATGCTGCTCCATCATCTACACTGTATGTCCATACCTCCGTCTTTACCTCGCGTACAGTGACTGTTCCCCCTCTCTCTCTCCCTACCTGCCTCAGTCTGGAACCACTGGCAAACCCAAAGGAGTTATGTTGAGTCACGACAACGTCAGTTGATATTCCTTCTCTTTCACCTCCTCCTACTCTTTTCACTCCACAATTTCCTTTTTCCCTGTGTACCTTGGACCCTTTCCACCCCTCTTTAATTCCTTACCGTCCTCCCTCCCTCCCCTCCTCCCTCCTTACCGTCCTCTCCCTCCCTCCCTCCTTACCGTCCTCTTCCTCCCTCCCCTCCTCCCCCCCTCCCCTCCTCCCTCTCCAGTTAACCTGGATGTGCCACAGGATCCTAGAGGAGAGCACGTTCAACACGGGATCAGAGCACATCATTTCCTACCTCCCCCTCAGCCACATCGCCACGCAACTCGTCGACGTCTTCACAATCATGGCCTGCGCAGGCACCTGCTGGTTTGCCCAGCCCGATGCCTTCAAAGGGTCCCTGCTGCAGACAATGAAGGAAATTAGACCCACCATCTTTTTCGGGGTGCCCAGGTCGGTGTGTCTGTCTTAAGCGTCATCTTCATCTCAATTATCATTAATTACATCATTGCGAACTTGCAAGACAGATAGCTGTTCTTTGATAAACTATCATAAGTTATTAGCTGCC